CCCAATCATCCTTGACTCTTCACTCTTTCCTCAACCACCACATCCCAAGTCAGTGGCCAAGTCTAAATGTTTCTGCTTCCAGTCTCTCACATCAGGGTCCTTCGCTCTATTCATAATTGTTACCCGTGTTAAAGCCCTCATCATCTTTTGACTGGATTACTGCACAAGCCTCCTAAATGGGCGTCCCCACCTCTAGTCTCTTCCCTCTCCAATCCATTTTCCTCATAACTACAAAATTGCTACACCTAGAACACAACAGGTCTGACTATGTCATTCTCCAAGTCTGGAAGTTTCATTATCTTCCTCTTCTCAGATGGGATATGAACTCAATCAGGGAGTGTTTATTAAGCACCTACTATGTTGCCAAGCACTGGGGATACAAGTACAAAGAACAAAAAACTGCCCAGTTCACAAGGAATTTACATCTTAATGTGGGAGTCAACAAGTACATATATAAACATATACAGAATATGAAGTAAATAAATAAGAACACATATAAAGTAGTTTAAAACAGGGGACTTTGAGAGAGAAGGCCTTAGCAACTGGGAGGATTAGGAAAGCCTTTAAACAGAAGATGGTGCCTAAAAGAAGATCGAGGCACCAGGAGGCAGAGGGGAGGACAAAGTACATTCCAAGTATGAAAGACAACCAGTGCAAAGACACAAAGTTGGAAGATGAAACTAAGGCAAGTTTGGCTGGAGTGCAAGTGTGTCTAATGAGGCTGGAAAGATGAGCTGGGGCTAGGTTTTATAGGGCAGAGGCATGAAACACCCCAACACAAGGTACATGTGGCCCACAACACTCCCAGTGCTTACTGAACCAGATTAAAATGTAATTGGGAAATATTTAACAAAATCAATAAAAATACAATAACACATCAAAAATATTACATTTTAAAACTTTGTAATTAAGATGTCTGAGAAAAGCAATAGCTACTTATTGTTACTGCCATGATCTTCTTGGGAAGTACCTCAGCTGAGAGTTCCAGCAGCTAACACATAGGAGGCTGTTGGGTTAATTTATTTATATGTTGTCAGTGTTCAAAGAAGGTGGAAAGAATTGTGGACTTGAGTGAAAAACACTTATATACCAGTTCATTATTACAAAATTGTTTATGTACAGGCATACCTTGTTTTATTGCACTTCACTTTATTGCCCTTGACAGAGAGTGCGTTTTTTACAAATTGAAGGTCTGTGGCAACCCTGCCTCAAACAAGTTTATTGCCACCATTTTTCCAACAGTATGTGTTCACATCTTCTTTTTGTGTCACATTTTGGTCATTCTTGCAATATTTCAAATCTATTCATTATATTATATCTGTTATGGTACTCTGTGATCAGTGGTCTTTGATGTTCCCATTGTAATTGGGGTGGGGTGGGGTGTGGGGAACACCACAGGCCAAGCCCACATAAGATAGTGAATCTAATCAGTAAATGTAGTGTGTGTGTGTGTGTGTGTGTGTGTGTTCTGACTGCTCCACCAACTGGCCCTTCGGGGTCTCTCTCCCTCTCTTTGCACTTTCCTGTTCCCTGAGACACAACAGTCTTGAAATTAGGCCAAGAATAACTCTACAATGGCCTGAAAGCATTCAAATGAAAGGAAGAGTCAATCGATCTGGCAAACTTCATTGTTGTCTTATTTTAAGAAATTGCCACTGCACCCTCAACCTTCACCCTGATCACCCTGATCAGTCAGCAGCCATCAACACTGAGGCAAAACCCTCCACTAGCAAAAAGATTATGACTTGCTGAAGACTCAGATAATGGTGAGCATTTTTAGCAATAAAGTATGTTTTAATTAAGGTATGTACATTGTTTTTTTTAGATGTAATACTACTACACACTTAATAGACGACAGTATAGTATAAACATAACTTTGAGCAACCACAAGATGTGTGACTCACTTTATTGCAATATTCACTTTATTGAGGTGGTCTGGAATCAAACCTGCAATATCTCCAAGGTATGCCTGCATTGGGGAAAAAGGGAAGGACCAGTCTGAGGCCAAAAGGTCTTACATATATTTTGTAACACTTTATGTAGCTCAGACTTTACTCTACAAAAAAAAAGTCAAGATAAAGAATTTTTTTTTAAGTATGCAGCCTACAGAAATCCTCATGTACAGATTAGTGGCCCTGGGTCTATGTGAATTTGATAACAGAGAAGTTTATGTTTTATTCTAGAGGCAACAGGAAGTCTCTGGAGTTGATAGAGTTGAGATCAAAGGTCTTTGCAAACCTTGAGGCCCCATATAAATGCTAGCTATTATATTATTTCATATGCTCAGATCCCATGGCAGCAGTGTGTAAGATGAAGTGAAGCAATGAGAAATGAGTCAGGAAGACCAATTAGGAGGCTGTTGAAATAATCTAGGCTAGCCATGATGTAGGCCCAGACTAAACTGGGTAGCTGTGTGGATGGAGAGAAGGTGGTCAGGGCAGTGAAGGGAAGGGGAAGAGAATAAGCATTTATATAGCACTATACCAAACACTTTTTCACAAATATTATCTCATTTGATCCTCATAACAACCTTGCATTGGAGGTGCTATTATTTATCCCCTTTTTAGAGTTGAAGAAACTGAGGCAAACAGAAGTTAAGTGACTAGCCAGAGTCACACAGCCAATAAGTGTCTGAGGCCATATTTAACTACAGGCCTGGCGCTCTAGGCACTGTACCACCAGTTGCCTCAAAGTCCAAGATACGTAAAGTTTGTCAACTGATTGGATACATGGAGTAAGGGAGATGAAGGAGGGCGGCATAATGCCAAGATTATGAACCTGGGAGACTGGAAACATGGAAGTTTGGGAGAAGGGGGGGGAAGGGAGGGGAGAAATAGCATGTTGAGTTTAAGTTGTTTCTCGTACATCCAATATGGCACCCAAAGCTCTCGACAATGATTCCTACCTACCTTTTTAGCCTCCTTATTTCCTATTACTTTCCTTGACATTCTTATTGTCTACTACACACAACGTTGCTCTGCACCTCCCTCGTCACTTCTGCCTGCACAGCTCAGGTACTGTTTCCTCCAAGACCCTTCTGGATCTGCCCCATTTATTAGCATTCAAAACACCACCCACCTCATTATTTTGTATGATTCTGTACTTCCTTGGGTCCATTTTCTATTCGCACCAGAAGAAGGTAAATTTCTAGAGGGCAGAAGGGATCTCCAGCATTTGTTATCATATGCCTAACACCTAGTACAATGCCTTGCAGAGCAGGTGATTAACGTTTGTTGAATATTATCCTCCTTGACTGATTAAAAAAAAAAGCCTATTTAAATTCAGAAGCCACAATAATAATAGTAGATAACACTTAGTCTTCTTGTCCAAAAACTAGATAGCAATGGGGAGCTTTTAAATCAAACCAAATGTGGCAGGGAGTCACCATCCCAGGAATCCCCAGGGAGCCAGGATCCCAGCCCAAACCAGCAAGTGGGAATGGGGTGTTAGGGAAAAGCTGGGGAGACAGAAGCAGAGTCTGGGGAAACAAATTTGCACTAATTAGCCTCACTAATTTACCCAGCCTCAGGCTGAAGTGGAATGATAGTGGATGGGAAAGAATAAAGGCGGAGGGATTCCATGGGATTCTAGGAATTGAAAGACTAGAAAGTAGGAGGTAAGGAGGTACCCCTCGGTTCCATAGCTGCCATGCATGAAGAAGGAAGCCGTTGGTGTAAGAGAGGGCTAACAACACATCTCCCTAATATATCTGGTTTCTGATGCAACCCCATTTTTACACTTAATCTGAATGAAATGTTCCTGTGACAGCAAGAAGCATTAGGGGAAATAGTGGACACAATACGAACAGCTAACCAGCTTCTCCGCCACAAAACCAGGCTTGTTGAGCTCCACAGCAAAGGGCTAGGCTTTCTGACACACACAGGGACGGCTTTTTTCTGTCGTTTTCAATTTCCAGTTGAGTACTGCTTTACTGTCACAGAAACACAAAAAAATCTAGTTCTTTTGCCAACAGTTTTATCTAAAACACAGAGGAAGGCAGATGTCACAAGGCAGCTCAGGAGGCTGTATGACATACATGTTTTGACACTTTAATTTACATAACGTCAGTACATTGCTTTGGAGTTCTAGAATTCTGTTTTTTTCTCTATTTTCACAACTCTTGATCCTCGTATGCTTGCTTGGCATTCTAAATTTCTTCTCTTTTCTGGGATCCCTTTACCTTATATATTTGTGTGGCATAATTTTATTTACTTTTAGGGGAAAAAATGACAGGTTTTCTTCCAAATCTCCAGCCTTTGGCTATGACTGTCTGGCCCTCATCTCTGACAGCTTCAAATGGCATCATGTGGCTGTCATTTGTTGTTTCGTCATTTTCAGTTGTGTCTGACTCTTCATGACCCCATTTGGGGTTTTCTTGACAAAGATACCAGAGTGGTTTGCCATTTTCTTCTCCAGTTCATTTTACAGATGAGGAAAATAAACCAAACAGGATTAAGTAACTTGCCCAGGGTCACACAGCTAGTTAGTGTCTGAGCCACATTTGAACTCAGCTCCTCCTGACTCCAGGCCCAATGCTGTATCCACTGTGCCACCTGGTGCCCCATGCTGTCATTATGTGAATCTAAAATCACTTTCCTAAACTGAATGTAGCTTTAGATAGGGTATGGTCATCCAATGAGAATGGTGGGCACAGGAACAAAATAAAGATTAAGAACATGAGGAAACACTTCTCATTTACTCCCAACTATGCTGAAATTTAAAACACACACACCCACACATCCATGCTATATTCCATGGATATAAAGTCTGGTTTGTCAAGTCCATAATAATGCACTTAGATGGTAATTCAATTCAAAACCCTAAGCCAAGAAGGTACAATAGTTTAACTTCCTCTTTGTAAAGGGAAATGGGAGAGGGAAGCAGGGTATCCCTGGCTCCATCCAGTCTGAAAGGTCAGCTTCCTTGTAAATATGTTCCAGTTCTCCTCTTAAAGTCATTCAAGTATCTCCCATTACTCTTTTCACTACTTATGAGTAAGAAGTCAGAGCTGGGGAGTGACAGGAGATGAGAAGAGTGGATTAGAAATGGCTCACAGATACAGAGAGTTTAAAATATATTAGCTCAAAGTAGAATGGTTCACCTCCAATCACAGTATTGCAAGAAAGGTAAGTGGACCAAATATCATGTCTAAGCTAAATGCTATTAGATATCACTTTTAAAAAGCCACTCTTTTAATTATATGCTGCTTTTCAGCAGTTGCTGCAGAGGATTTATGTTTTTTTAAAGGCATCCTGGAACACAAACCTTCCTCTCCTCCCCTCCTTTACTGAGGGGAATGGATTTCAGTATAGACCTTTTGTGTACTGTCAGACATGGCCAGTGTGTTGGTAAGTGCTTTTTCTTTTTTCTTTTTTTTTCAAAGTTAACACAAAATAGCACAGGTAGGGGGCAGGAGATATTCAGAAGTGGAGGTGCCATGAAAATAACATCTTGCCTTTATAGAGCGCTTTAAGGTTTGCAAAGTTCCATACTACTTTATCTCACTTGATCCTCTCAACAGCCCTGGGAGGGAGGTGCTATTATGATCCCCATTTTACAGTTGAGGAATCTGCGGCAGACAGGTGTTAAATGACTTGCCCAGGTCACACAACTAGGAAGTGTCTGATGTGGAATTTGAATTCCTGTTTTTTTTGGCTCTAAGTCCAGCATTCTCACCCACTGTGTCACCTGGCTGCAATGAAAACTTCAATTTCTTAAAAAGGTGTTTTCCTTGATTCTCCATTGTACAATATGAGGCAACAGGTGGGATAACTTGCTCCTCAGGTGATAGTCAAATTTGGTAGTGCTATTCAAACCCTACCTCATTTCTATCCTTCCCAAATGAGATGGAGAAAAATTTGGTTGTAGAACTTAATGGTCTCAACAACTTCTCTTTATGTTACTTTCAAAACAGCCACTCATCATGCAAAACCATTAAGCATCAGTTGGTTGATTCTAAATCTTTTATAACTGTTCTGCAGGTAAAGAAGGAGGTAACTCCACATTTGCCATGCCTTGCATTTAACAGTTTACATTCATGCAAAGGCTGATCCTAAGGAAGAATGGGAATATAAAGAACCTTAAGAGATCGTCTTTCTTTTCTCTGCAGGACATCTTTCCTCTACAATGCTGGGGCAATGGGAAAGAATAAGAGGAAAAATGTGCTTGTCTCTAGAATTACTTTTCCCTCTACTTGACCCAAAATAAAACACACAACATGTATCATTAATGGAAAAATGTATTAAAAATATTCAGAAAATTATAACATGTTGAAAAAAACAGCAAAAAATTCTAACTAGGTGGTACAGTATTATTCCATAACTGGATACATTTCCAATGAAAGTAATAATAGCTTTAGCTCTTATCTGCAATGAACTTCCCACAGGCCTCCCTCACAAAGGTCTGAATCCATTTAAGAGATCCCATTTCACCAATATCAAGACCTAAAAAGGGCAGCCTTGTTAACAGAAGAAGGCCATCACACACCTGGCAGGGAATAGAGGAATCTGGCACTGAGGAGACAAGTGAGAAGGGTCTGGGGTCTGGGGAGTGGATTGGAGGAAATATTAAGAAATTTCGAAAGACAAGGCTGACTGAAGGTCCTCGAAACTGAAGCCCCAGGGCACAAAGTATATTACCGGGAGACAGGCACCTAAGTACAGGATCGTCTTTCTTCCAGTAAGGGAACTACGAGAAACTATGAGGAAATGCTGCCCCTCAAAAACTGGTCCTCAAACAGTGGGAAAGAAGTGAGTGGGGACCAGTAGCTTCTTTTCAAAGTAGGGTCACTGCTGGCTACTCTTGGAATACCAAAGGACTGGGCAGCCTCTGGAAGTGTTTAGTTAAGATGAGTACAGTAAGGAGGAGGCCCAGCAAAAAGTCTTAAAGAAACACTGTTGTGAAGGAAATGATCAGCAGATTGGGGCCAGAATGCGTTGGTGGATCACAGTAAAGTCACACTAACAGCTCCTGCTGCCACTTGGTATCAGAATTCCCAGAGCATCCGTCCACAAGCATCTGGCCAGAAGAGGCCAAGTAAACCTTTGCTTTCTGCAGGAGTTAATTTCTCTCCCACATACCACACCAAAGTTCTACTCTCTCTAAGCCTCATTTTCATAATAAAAACATAACCAACTCCCTTTGCGTTTTAAAACACTGGTGGTGATAGGACCCTAAAGGAGTATCACTAATTTTGGCATCAGATTTCTTCAAATATAGGGACTCTCCCTACAAAGCACATGAAAACAGCTAAAGTTAGGTGTTTGCTTGTTTTTTTAATGGATACAAAAAAGCTATGCCATTCAAAGCCAACTTTAACAATGTATTGAGGTACAGAGGCAGAGTTTTCTATCCACAGGTTGGGTGTCCCTGCTGAGTCTGTGAATGTGGGAGATGTGATTACAAGTCAGCATAAATATATTCCTCTAATCTACACAAAGCACAAGCCAGGGTGTAACAACTTTAGAAGATGGAGAAAATGCAAAATTACAAAACCTTTTCCCAATTTACATATGCAAAAATGGAAAGTTAAGAGCCTCACAAAGGTAAGCTATCCCATTATCGCCAGACAGGCAAGAAGCTGATCATGAGGCAAGCAGTTCAAACTCTAGAGTCTGAACTCTAGAGATTGAGCATAGTATAGCAGAAAGGACCATAAACGAGGAGCTCAAAGACCTGGGGGGTTCACATCCTGGCTTTGCCACTACCCAGCTGTGTAACTTTAGAAAGCTCGTGTCTCTCTGTTTCCTCAGCTTTAAAATGAGGATGTTGGACTTGAAATCCAAGCATCTTTCCAGCTTCAATATTCTACAAGTCCAATTATCCTACTTTTGTTTCAAGAAAGGCATCATCCATTTTAAGGTTCCCTTCAACAAGTCACTCTCCTTTGCAAGGAGAATGACATTCTTCCCCAAGTAAAATAATATCTCTAGAAAAGTCATCTGTCTACTGAAAACAAGGCCTATGATTTAAAGGAAGTGGCCAAGGCCATTTTCTTTACCCACTCATGAAAAATTAAAGTTCTACCTTGCCTACAACAGTCTACAAATTGATATGCTTAAAGGGCTCAACGTAAGCATTATCTACTTTTTTTATTAAACCACACATGCTATACAAAATGAACATTGATTTGAATCAGAGAGAGTAAATTTCAAAATAAAATTTCTTCAGATAATCTCCCAACTCTGATAGTGAAAGAATTGTTTTCTGAAGTAAACTGATTTTTTTTTAAATATAAAAAATACAAACATTGGACAGAGGGCAAGGATGAAGGATATCCTGTATAAGTTACCTTTGTAATGACCCCATTCAAAAATAGGAGAAGAAATGCGATTAGACTTTTTAAACCAAAGGGCCATCTCTATTGAAACAGCTTATCAATTTGTGGCAGATCTCCATTAAGGCCAATTATACCTAAATTTTGGTGGTGAGAATGTTTTTTTTTCTTCTTTTTAAAAATTTTTTATTAATTTATTTTGATTTATCAACAATCACTTCCATATGCTTTTGAGTTTAAAATTTTTCCCTCTTCCTCCCCACCACCCTCCCCATGACGGCACACAATCTGATATAGGCTATACATATACATTCCTATTAAACATATTTTCACATTAGTGATGTTGTAAAGAAGAATTAGAACCAATAGGAGGAACCATAAGAAAGAAGATACAAAAGATAACAGAAGAAAAAAGAGTAAATAGTATGCTTCAATCTGTATTCAGACTCCATAGTTCTTTCTCTGGTTGTGGACAGCATTTGCCATCATGAGACTTTTGGAGATGTCTTAGATCTTTGCAGTGCTGAGAAGAGCCAAGTCTATCAAAGTTAGTCATCGTACAATGTGGCTGTTAATGTGTACAACGTTCTCCTGGTTCTGCTCACTTCACTCAGCATCAGTCCATACAAGTCTTTCCAGGTTTTTCTGAAGTCAGCCTGTTCATCATTTCTTATAGCATAATAGTATTCCATTACATTCATATACCACAATTTGCTCAGCCAGAGAATGGTTTTCTTTACCTCGATGACACTTAATGCTTATGTACCAGTCCTTACCTAGGTTTCAAAGGCCAGATGTGGTTTCTGGGTCAAGCAATCTTCAAGTGATTCTGGTTTGCATTTTGTTTTCCTTGAGTGTCTTCTGTTTTTTCCCTTAGTTTTTCTGGATATCAGCATACACCACAGATTCTCATTTGTTCATCTCACCATGTTGACTCCCAGAGTGGCGTTGCTACACATAAATGACTGAGCAATGCTGACAGAAGAGAAATGGGATAAAGATTTGGAAAAACACATAGTCCCTTGTATTGGAAGGTTTGGAAAAACACATAGTCCCTTGTATTGGTACAGTTTGAAAGACAAAGATAAGTGAAAATACTGAGTTCCAAGGCAAAGATTATTCTACTTCAAATGTCTTTTTAAAATTAAAAATTCATTCCATATTATTCACCAAAGAGTCTTCTGCTCATGTAATGGAAAATAAGAACACAAGATCCCAGTTCTAAGTGATGTGTTACAAAACAGATAAAAGAACCATCCAATACCAATAGAAAAAAGTGTAATCCAAAGGTACAACCAAATGAATGAACCATCAGTCATTTTATCCTCAAGATCACCTAAGAAATTCTCAAAGGACTCTACCACAAGGACTATGGATCTGGCCCAAATCCATTGAAAATGGTATTTATAATTCACACACACACTACTTCTTTACCAAAAGAACTATGATTCCTGGTTTTAGACTGTTTTGTTTCTACTTCGAAAAAGAGAGTTAGCAACCCCAACCATTACCAATAAGTAAAGAGAGTTGAGGACACATGAAGACTTTTAAATGGATTATTATAATCACCATTAATCAATAAACTTTTAAGAAAAGACATCCTCTAACTGCAGTTATATTCTATCTATTAAAATGTAATACAAAACAATATAAATAGCCAAAAGAAAATACATATGAATAGTTATAATGAACAGTAACAAAAATGTCTATTTTGTCCAGTGACTCACTATCCCATTTCCTGAGAAATCCTTCTCAAAACAGATCAGTATAGACTTGAGTTTTGTTTTTCACTAGTAATCAGTGGTTAACAATGGGTATCTGGTTGAAAAGAAGTCCAGTTCGAGATATCCCATCCTTCTGCCCATCCTCATTTTCCCCACAAAAACAAAACAAAACAAAACAAAACAAAAAACTCTAAACCCCTCATCTTTCTATATCAAGTGACCTAGGGGTCTAGAAAACACAGAATCATGATTATAAAGAATCCTTTAAGTCGTCATGGGGACATCTGTAAGAAAAATAGATGGCACATCTCTGAAGCAAGAGTCACATTCCAGACTAATTTTAACATACACTTATTGGCACATTTCAAATATTTGGTAAACATAAGATACCTTAACATATTCTTTTAAATGAAACATCTACCAATCATAATTAGTAATCTAAGTAGTCAAATTTAGTAGTTTGGTGACCACAATATATATCATTGTTTAAGAGACCTTTTACTCCCAGCCTAGAAAGCAGCCAGTTAAGTGCTAACAGAGAAGATTGAGTCAAACATGAGGAACATCAAATACAACATGTGCTAATAGTATCAGACCAAAAACAAAAACAAAAACAAAAAACCAGCTTCTATATGCAATAACAGGCTGAGATGGGGGTGTATGGGTGGAGAAGGGCTGTGGAATTTTTAAAATACCCGGGGGACAGTATTTCATGGTCTTTCAAGACAGAGAACTACAATGATCCAACAGAAGATGCTGGAAAAACGTGGTGAAAAAAAGATGCTTTTATTTGCAAATATATTTCCAAAAGCTGCCCGGTGATATATGTGGATCTGGTTGAGGTAGTGTGGAGATTAGTCCAAAGGACCCTAAAAGACATAGCATACGTTTTCTGGTCCTCTTTGGAAAATCCCTCCAGAAAAGCTACCAGACCCACTCTTGATATTTCATAGATCCACTGAGCCAAGGCCAGTCTGGGAATATTTATCAAGTTAACTCTGGACTATCAAGATTCTGGCCCTGAAGTTTGCTTTGGAAGCAAACAGCTTCAGGATTCACTGCAAATCTTCAAATTCCAATTAAAATTCCAAGTAAAACAAAATTCCTTAAGTAGATTTCTTACTCATTTTTTGTCAGAAACTGATTGCACACTCATTGGTTTTATGTAACTAAACGTCCAGGTAACTCTACTTTTATTTTCCTGGTTCACATAAGCATGCTACT